AAAACAGTATGTTTCATTCTGACTGAAGCACATGATAATGTTATAAAACAGTATGTTTCATTCTGACTGAAGCACATGATAATGTTATAAAACAGTATGTTTCATTCTGACTGAAGCACATGATAATGTTATAAAACAGTATGTTTCATTCTGACTGAAGCTCATGATAATGTTATAAAACAGTATGTTTCATTCTGACTGAAGCTCATGATAATGTTATAAAACAGTATGTTTCATTCTGACAGAAGCACATGATAGTGTTATAAAACATTATGTTTCATTCTGACTGAAGCACATGATAATGTTATAAAACATTATGTTTCATTCTGACTGAAGCACATGATAATGTTATAAAACAGTATGTTTCATTCTGACTGAAGCACATGATAATGTTATAAAACAGTATGTTTCATTCTGACTGAAGCTCATGATAATGTTATAAAACAGTATGTTTCATTCTGACTGAAGCTCATGATAATGTTATAAAACAGTATGTTTCATTCTGACAGAAGCACATGATAGTGTTATAAAACATTATGTTTCATTCTGACTGAAGCGCATGATAATGTTATAAAACATTATGTTTCATTCTGACTGAAGCACATGATAATGTTATAAAACAGTATGTTTCATTCTGACTGAAGCACATGATAATGTTATAAAACAGTATGTTTCATTCTGACTGAAGCACATGATAATGTTATAAAACAGTATGTTTCATTCTGACTGAAGCACATGATAATGTTATAAAACAGTATGTTTCATTCTGACAGAAGCACATGGTAATGTTATAAAACAGTATGTTTCATTCTGACTGAAGCACATGATAATGTTATAAAACAGTATGTTTCATTCTGACTGAAGCACATGATAATGTTATAAAACAGTATGTTTCATTCTGACAGAAGCACATGATAATGTTATAAAACAGTATGTTTCATTCTGACTGAAGCACACGATAATGTTATAAAACAGTATGTTTCATTCTGACTGAAGCACATGATAATGTTATAAAACAGTATGTTTCATTCTGACTGAAGCACATGATAATGTTATAAAACAGTATGTTTCATTCTGACTGAAGCACATGATAATGTTATAAAACAGTATGTTTCATTCTGACTGAAGCTCATGATAATGTTATAAAACAGTATGTTTCATTCTGACAGAAGCACACAATAATGTTATAAAACAGTATGTTTCATTCTGACTGAAGCTCATGATAATGTTATAAAACAGTATGTTTCATTCTGACAGAAGCACACGATAATGTTATAAAACAGAATGTTTCATTCTGACAGAAGCACATGATAATGTTATAAAATAGGAGATAATTGTTCAAAAGTAACTGATACATGAACAAAAGAATTTGTAAACTGTTCATAGGATAAAGAAACTGCTGCAATGATGTGCACCAATGACTCAGTGTTGTGGAGGTTGAACTCATAGTTGTTAGAACTTCAAGTCTGATGTGAGAAATGCACTAAAGCCACTGGAGAAAAACTGTAACTATTCAGATCCTCCCCCTCCCCCTAAGATGGCAAAGTGAAGCAACTTCAGCTCAGCCTGTGATAACGGCCCTATTTACATAACAAAGTTGGCCGTTCACAGGTGATTTCGTTTGTTAGCTAAAATCCTTGGGGTCATTTGGCACCGTGGAGGGGATGATAGGTATAAGTGCCAAATGACACCTCCATGGGAGTGCTAGTGTTAAGATACATTTTGACATATTTGAGCAATTTTTGACTTATTTTTCATCCTTTTTGCAGTGTAGACTTAATAGAATTGTGTTGGAAAATGGTTGATGTATAGTGTAGTCCCCAGTATCAAAAAATAGGGACTGCAGATTTGAGTCCTGTGATTTTAAAGTTCTGTGATTATAGATTATTTGAATGCCTTGTGTGATGGTTCATTTCTTGTTTAGCGCTTTGAGTTCTCTTGTCTATGAACATGTATGAAAGTTGACAAAGACGGTATAACAATGCATTAGCACACAGGAAAGGCTGAGACTCCAGCAAAAAATTGTGTTGTGGGAAATAAATGGCAAGTCTTTAGATACATAGAGGTAATAGGATTGTGTTGGAAAATGGTAAATATTTGCGACTGAGCTGCAGGAAGTGATGACGAAGGGAAAGGGTTGCTTTTATGTGCGCTCTCGGCTCTTGGAGTGGAGAAGGCGGTGTGTGTGTGGAGGAGAGCGGCGGCGCAGGTAATGGGAAGTGCATAAGTCTGTTTTCAGAGTGGGTTTTTGTCTGTGTTGTGAGAGCGCGCTTCAAAAATCTGATATTAATATAAATGAAGGGCTCTCAAAGTCAGTTTATCCGTGGGTTAAGGTGAAGCTGGGCCGCATTAAAGGGTGTGTTTATGAACGAGTTTGTGTGTTTGAGCAAAATATATGGATATTAACCAAGCCCTGGTGATCCAAGATTGCGCCGTATTCAAATGAATGGTTTGTGTTCAGTGGCGCATTGTTTCGGCATGGGCGTTGAAAGATTAGCGGAAGTCGCCTGGAACTCGCAAAGATCCATGGGAACTCGCCTGTATTTGGGCATCGTCTGGTCCTCCCGGATCTGCGCAGTGGAAGATCTCCCATGATGCATTGCGCAAAATACGCGTATGGCTCTCATGCACTCTCACTTTACCTTATGTCTCTTTACTTATCTACTTATTATCCTGCACTATTTAACTGTACAGTATATAACTGCACTACTACAAATATATTTTGACTGGTATTGAAGCATTTTCAGCATCTACAGCTTGTTATGTTAGAAACATAGATACTACTTATTTGTATATATTGTGTGTGCTCCCTGTGTGCTCTTACTACTGTCCTGTATGTGCGCTGCAACATTGAAATTTCCCCACTGTGGGACGAATAAAGGAATTCTTATCTTATCTTAAATTTCTGGGTAGCCCACGTGAATTTAGTCTGGTTTAGTCTGCAGTACCGCGAGAATCCCCCAGCACATGGGTTCTTCAGCTCCAAGCTAGTAATACCCTATCCAGTTATTATAATAGATCCATGATATTGACGGATCTATGCATCTGCAGAGGGAGACACTAAAACTAACCAGGGGAGACACTAATGTAGAAAGGCGCAGGACTAAATTTGGCCAAATGGTGGCGCACATCAGAGGCACAACATTATGGAACACGTTTCCGGGACACATACAAAACGGTGGGACCTTCCTAACGTTTAAAGGAGTCCTGAAACATCGGTGGAAATCAAACCAGTCCCATAGATCTGCTCTTCCTTGGATGTCCTCCTTCTCTTCTCTTTTGTTTATGCTGCGCCTGTTGTCTTATTGTTCGTACTTTTACCTAACTGTGCGTTTGTGTGTTTCTCACCTGCCTTAGGACAGTGGATGCTATTTACTTCTTGTGCTAATTCCAGGATATTTATGTATATTTTGTATATATGTATATACAAAAATAAAGTCTCACACTTTACTCCACCCACTCGCTTTAGCTCCTGGATTGACAGAAATACCTCTACGTCTCAAAGTGTTATTAATAAAGAATGAGAATATTGTCCCATTCTTTAACAATAACAGTAGAGAAAGTCAACATGTGTGCTTGGAAAACAGAGAGATGAAAATGGAGAAACCGGGAATCAAGGGTTTGTGGAATGTTGGTTTATAGCTCCTCTGCATTTGTGACTTTTTTATAAGATATATTGACTCTGTATAAAAAAAAAACCTTCATTATATATTTCCATGAACAAGATGAGTGCAGCTGCTTGGATTGAAACAGAACTGGACTAAAGATCTTGGACTGAGTGTTGTAGTCTGGGCTGAATAAAGTTTACTTGTACTTGCATTTGATTCCCTGATCTGATCTGTTGTTGACTAATCGACATCTTTGACAAGTCCTCCGAGACGCCTGCTGTTGTGATTTAGAGCTATTCAAGACTAAATTGAATTGAATGTAAATGTTATTTTCTTGATGAAATTATCTTTAAAATGAATGATGTATCTCATGCCATATTAGCCCAGACTCTCAGCGGGGGCCATGCTGACTTTGCACTTTTTTGTCCACTAGAACTTTTTGGCTCCAACTCTCTCTGGCTCCTATTGACTGACGTGTTAAAGTAAACTCCTCTTGCTCAGTAACCCTCTGCCTCACTCTCATCATTTTGGGCTAAACCATTTCCGTGGTTTAGTGCTCTCTGTGATCCCGTAGTTTTTATTGTGATATATTCTTTTTAAATCCAGATTTGAGCCATTAAAGGATTGACCAATAGCTCACCCTGTCTTCACAAATGCCCTTATAAGGAAATGGGCACCAGCTAGCTTATGTTGAAATCTGCCTCTTCTGGATTAAGGCTAACGCTATGATGATCCACTCCTAATATACAGTCTATGCTTTGTTAAGACACATTGGTCTGACACCGACAGGGCAAGACACCAGCAGGATTCTGGGAAAGTTTTCACTGGTTTTTAGGGAATGGTGCTTTGAACAATAGTGTGTATTAGGAGTCGCCACAGTGTTAGCCTTAAACACTATTGTCGATCAACAGCTTACCAAATTTCTTATAATCAACCATTGCTTGTTGGTTCAGTAATATCACAGTCAAAGAAAGGAGAGCTTTAAACAAAACTCTGCTCTATCAATGACTCTTCTGGCCCCTGGAAAAGCCATGTTCCAGCTTCTTCCCTCTGTTAGAAGATGCCATTCGTTGAGGTCTCCTTTTGCTAACAGCTTCTTTCCACAAACTGTTTTTAGTTCAAACAGAGCACTTTAATGATCTTGCCTTTGTATTGAAACAGATTTTGTTGATTGGTTTCACAGTCACAATTGTCTCCTGTAATGTTTTTGCTTGTTTTATTTATGTACTTGTCTGGTGCACACAGGAGACGTATGCATATGTATTACAATTTGGTTTAACTGCAAATGGCAAATAAAAATAATCTAAATCTGATATGTTCCAGTTTATGTCTAGGGCCAATTTAGATCTTTTACACGCTCTAAAACTCTAATCCATCTTTGTGTCTCTGCAGAACCCTCCTGACTGCAGCAAGGCCCGGAAGCTTGTGTGCAACATCAACAAGGGCTGTGGCTACGGCTGCCAGCTGCACCACGTGGTCTACTGCTTCATGATCGCCTACGGCACCCAGCGCACGCTCATCCTGGAGTCGCACAACTGGAGGTACGCCCCCGGAGGATGGGAGACCGTGTTCCTGCCTGTGAGCAACTCCTGCACCGACCGCTCCGGAGCATCCACGGGACACTGGTCTGGTGAGTGCCGCGCTCTTCTCTGGTTCTGGTTCTGGTTTTACTCTGGTTCCCCTTTAAGTTAAATTTCAATGTTCCAAAATCAAAATGCTCATTGGAGAAATTGGAGCCCTGTTTCCTCCAGCGCTACTTTGCTCTGCTCTACTCTACTGTACTCTTCTCTACTCCAGTGTTTTTCAACCTTTTTTGAGCCAAGGCACACTTTTTTCACTGAAAAAATCTTGCGGCACACCTCCAGGAGAAAATGTAAAAATGTATACAGTACTAATGTAAAAATATATACTGTACATACTCTGTGTGATATATAAAGTATATCTTATCTTATCTTATAATGTATACAGTATACTCTGTAGCCTATATTCACAATATACAGTTATTCTCATCAAAATGCTTAAGTCCAGGCCTTGACATTAAGCTTTATTTAATATTTCTCGATACAATTAACAAGAGTTTGGGAATAAAGTGGCACTAACTGTGTGGAAATAAACTAAGAAAATCCACTCTCTGCCCAAATAGTCAAATAATAACTCACACAAAGAACATGCATTGTTAGTGCATGGGAAAAATTTAGGTATCCGAGCTTTAAAGGGCCCATATCACGGTTTTTGACTTTTCTCTGCTTTAAACATGATTACAGTGCTATTTGGCCTTCATACACAAGCCCACAGTAGTTTATTCATTGATTCTGTCAATCTTTTGTAAGAGAACAATCTGTCTCCTTCCCCAGCGTGAGGCACAGAAACGCTCGGGTCCACTTCAGTGACGAAAACCACACTGATGACGCGCATGACCCCGTTTGCTTTGTATTTAAAATAGTTGTTAAATACTTTTGTCAAAACGGGGTAAACAATACACAATTAGTATGCTGTTTTTTGTCAAAAATAATAAAAATAAAAATAAATTAAAAGCCGGCGGGAGGTGATTGACGGATCAAAACAGCAAATCAGAGCGCACAGGCTCCGGCTCCCGAGTCCAGCGTCTGTGGTCTGGTCTCACGGACACCACATAGAGCTGCTGTTTTTATGCTTTTGTCAGAAACTAAAAGTGTTAGGATCACGTCAACTTGAATGAAGTGTGTTATGGGTGTAAATATGTGACACACTATTTGGCCCTAAGAGGAAGAAAGCGGCTCGACTTTTTTCATCTGTTCATCTCATGGATCTATTATAATACCGGTTCATCTGCGACACTTCACTGAGACTGTTCCAGAACTACAGGGACAATGGAACTGGACTTACTCAAAGGCTGATCTGGAAACACGTTATTCCCACGGTAAAAGACGTAACTCGGACCCCCTTGATCTGTAATTAGTGACGCTAACTCGCTGTATACTTCTGTAAACTAAATAACTAGGGTCTGATTGTGCATCGAGGACATAGGGCTCGATGTGACGGATTGTCATTGTTGGAAAAAGTTTATTCTTATGTATGAAATTACTAAGTACAGGTGATAAACGACAAAAGCGTGATGCTACGTCACCGTGCGGGCGGGGGGAGGCGGGCTCACAGGCAGAGGAGCAGACTCTTCTCTGGATCAGCTCGTTTGAGTCGAGGTGACGTCACCTCTATACAAGAGATGGCTCTAATCTCACAAGCTTTGATTGTTGTGTGGTGTATCATACACATTAATATCACACATGTGTATAGGATTGAGTGTGAAACATGAATAAAAGCGTGATATAGGACCTTTAAATTCAGGAGTTTTGGATGAGGGACACGGGAGGTCCTGAACGCGAGTCCATGGTTCTGTCCGGTCCGCATGTCTGTGGTTCTGTCCACTCGACTATGGTCTGCGCTCGGTACCCAGTTCAGAAGTGCGTTCGCGAGAGCTGTTGTACAAAAATTGTACATTTCATAGTTAAACCACTACAACGCGGCCACAGCTGCCCCGGGGCAGAGCGGAGGATGTTAATCCTGTTCAGAAACGGCATAATTCATTTTCAAAAACGTCTCTATCACTTTCACTTCTCACTCGCAACAAAGCTCTTGTCTCGCTCCCTCCCACATTTGTTGGTCGCATCCAATTTTACCTTTCTCGCCACAATGCTGACCTGTTACAGCCAGTGGTCGCATCCAATTTTTCAGTTTCAAAGTACTTAGCTATCTGCTGCCATCTACTGATTTGAAAAAGTATTACATGGTTACTCCACAGTTCAAAACAAGTCACCGCTCGTCAACAGCGAATGCAGTTATTTTTAGACAAAGTAGACGAATTTCTCACGGCACACCAGACAATATCATACGGCACACTAGTGTGCCGCGGCACAGTGGTTGAAAAACACTGCTCTACTCTACCCTACCCTACCCTACTCTACCCTACCCTACCCTACCCGGAATGGGAGTGTTTCCACGGGTCCTGTTTAACCAGTACCAGGTCACTCTTTAGTCTCTCTTAGCTCTTGTACTAAAGTGTTTTAACTGACCGTGATTGGCCATGAGTGCTGCTGGAAGCCATGGTTATCAAGGAATTTCCCCAGATAATGGTTTGTTGTGAGCAGGTTGCTAGGTTACGGTACCAGATGTAATGGATACGCAACCAGCTATAGACCCAATTATGGAAACCGGGATTATGAAGGTTTCCCGAGAGCATACAATGTATGTAGATGGACAATGCTAACCCTCAATAAAGCCCCATAGAAAGTGCTCATGGCGAAGCTTTTCTCCAGCTCGCCCTTGCTCCTATTAATTTACATTGAAAAGTGACTGTAACCGTATGATGATGGGTTAGGGCGGCATGGTGGCTGAGTGGTTAGCACTCTCTGCATATTCCTAGTTTGTGACTTCCTGTTTACAATGGCACTACTACTACTACTACTTACAATGGCATTAAATTCATTGAGGTTCCGATTCTTGGTTCTCAGTGAGGAGTGCTTAGCGCTCTTGAATCCCATTCTGATCCTGGCCTTTCTGAGTGGAGAGTGCCTGTTCTTCCCTTGTGTGCGTTGGTTTCCTCCGGGTGCCCCGGGATTCTCTCTCTTCCTTAATGCAAATGAATGGTTCATATTTGAATTTCTAAACACAATATCACAGTAATAACACCAGGATCACACTAAACCACAGATTTTTTTAAGCCCAAAATGTTAAATGTGACACAGAGACTGAGCTCGAGGATGTAAGTCAATAGGAGTCAGAGTGAGCACATCCCCATTGGGCTTCATTGAACTAGCAGGTTAGCATCTGCGTATAGTCTCTGGTCCTTGTTCATATGACTGATGATTGATGGAAGCGTTGGCGCAGCGTTGGCTCTTATCTTCCCGGTGATTAGTGGCTCTGTGTAATTAAACAAACTAGCCGACTGGCCCCACGACAGAAGCCCATGCCAGAGTGTGTTTGTGCCACCGCAGCAAAAACAAAGTGAGACTCCACTCTGGCTGTGTGCAATTTCAGTTAAAGCTTTTTGGCAGCAGGACACTGTTCTAGTGGCACGTTTACCGCTGCGATGTGAGGCCCACAGAGCCTCGAGCTGGGTGCTTCCCGGCTGCATCCTGGCTATTGTGGATTTGAATTACCTTCATTAGTGTCTCATAATCCTAAATAAGGCTTTGAGAAACTGATATTGTGCATAATAGGTGTTTATTTTCTTAAACTTGATCTTGAATTATAGTAGTAACAGAAGTAGTTGTGGTGGCAGCAGTAGCAGAAGTAACAGTACCAGTAATATGAATATTAGTTGTAGTAACATCAGTGACAGAGGTGGTAGTAGCAGCCTTTGCACAGTTGTAGTTGAAGTAGTAGATATGAGAGATGTGGTGGAAGTTCAAAATCATAACAAGTCTCATCAAAAGCTGAATCTACTGAAGGTTATTGAACACGATGTAATGTCCAGTTAAATACCTTACACTCAGTTTGTCCAAACTGTAGCCCCGGGGCAAAACACAGCACTCCAAGAATTTTTTGAGGCCCAACCATTCTCTGGAATGTCGGATATTACGCTGAATTCAGAATCGTCTACTAAGAAAACCTGTTAGTGAAACCGTATAGATGTTTCTGATTAATCTGGAACGTTGGAGTTTTGGCATCTCAGGAGTAAGAGAACTTATGCACATTTTTGGTCTTTTGAACTTCTGTGTCTTTTTCTCTCTCTATCCACAAGTCACGTCATTCTTTTTTGTATTAAGTTTTACTTTTGAAACGGGAGTTCTACCTTTAATCCTTGCCATTCATTTGAATATACATTTCAAGGTTTCTCCTAGGTGCTGGTCCTGGACTGGTTCTGGTTCTGGAGTTGAGTCAGATTTTCCTCCAGGGTAGAGGTCTGGTTTCCATAGCAACACACTGTTTACATGCAACATTTTCAATAAAACTGATCGTAAAACCAACTCTTTTCTAAATTACATAGATTATTATGGGTGCCACCAAAATCAGTGTTCTGCGACTTCTATTAGTTTCAGAATTCTGAGAGTCCTAGTGTTAAATCCTGCAGCCCTTCCTCTTATCAGCTCCCTCCCAGCTCCTCTCCGTCTTGTCTCCATGTGACATTGGAGAAAAGACTTTCACCTGTCCTTCGTCTCTCTGACGTCCTGCTCAGGCCCTTGTCTCTGTGTCCTGGGCCCCTGTCTCTCAATTCATTTCCATTGATTTTTGTACGGTCCTAAATCCCAACAGTAGTCACAACGAAGGACTTTACAAAGTTGTTGATTCGCCAACACAGATCAGAGAATCAAACAGTTCAAACGTAGGAAAGACAACTTTAACAAACAAATAGGAGCATTGGACCAATATGTCCTGGGCCCTTGTCTCTCTCTCCCGGGCCCCTACACATCCATATGGTCCAGTTAATTAAAATATTGCTTAGTAGGTCTTTCAGATGTGAGTGTAGTTTGCTGGCTTTGAAGGAGTCCTTTGAAGACGGCGTACACAGCGCTCTGTTCGGGCCTCACACCAATCACCTCTCCTGCTTAGAACTTATCTTCATCAATTACTTTCGGCTGTAATTAACTTTGAACAAAATATAAACCACAGGTGATCAAATCCCCAGTTTTGTGCTCTCTCTCTCTCTCTCAC